AAATTATACTTATTGTTAAAATCTCTATAAAATATCTGATAATTTGATGTGCATATGTCTAATGATCATTTTTGACCGCCAAATGGCATTTTTTTTTACTTTTTTCATTAGATCTCCGAAACCGCTAGACCTGCCTTTATGAAAATTTGACCGGTTCTTCACCTTGTCAATACAAGTAAAATGTTTTTTGAATTATTAAAATCGGGCGCTCCGTTCTTTTAAAAACTGAGTTACCATTTTTGGCACTTTTTGCCCCGTATCTTCGGAACGGCTGGACCTGACTTCGCCAAAAACTAATCAGCACGTCTCCTTATCAATACGAATCGAATGTTTTTTGAATTATTCAAATCGGTTGATCGGTGTTCCCGAAATCGTCGACGAAAATTTGTATCCGCACATACATACACACACGCACACACACACACACACACACACACACACACACATACAACCATTTTTTCTAAGGTATGCCAAAATATTCAGAAACCTTTGAAACGTCGAGAAATGCAAAAATTTTCATTTTCGATTTTTTTGCGATTACTATAACTTGCCCTACGGGAAGTTAATAAATCAAAAATCTAATAATTGCTGGAACTTTCGTATCGAAAATTATATTATTAAAAAAAAACTTCGCAAAACATTGAAAAATTAGATTTTTGAGAAATTTTGAAATTTTTGAAAACAATTGACTTTTCTGAAATATTTGATTTTTTTTGTATTTATTTATTTGTTTTGACAAGCAATCGTGCTGCATAGCTGATTTGGAGTGGAAATATCAAAGCGCGTAAGCGCTGCGTAGTCATTTAACGTGTAAACATTGGTGCGGAACCCATATGTACACGAAGTTGCATTTCTTATCATAATCTTTATAAAATATCTGATAATACGATGTACATATGTCTAATATTCATTTTTGACCAATGGCATTATTTTTTACATTTTTTATTGGATCTCCGGAAACGCTGGGCCTGCCTTTACGAAAATTTAAACAGTTCTTTGTTTAGTCAATTCAAATAAAACATTTTTTGAATTATTTAAATTGGACGCTCTGTTATATCAAAAACTGACATAACATTTTTCGCACTTTTTGTCCCGTATCTCCGAAACGGCTAGTCCTGCCTTTGCCAAAAACTAATCAGCACATCTCCTTATCAGTAGGAATCGAATGTTTTTTGAATTATTCAAATTGATTGATCCGTGTGCGCGAAATCGTCGACGAAAATTTGTATCCGCACACACACATACATCAATTTTTTCTAAGATATCCAAAATGTTCAGAAGACTTTGAAACGTAAAATGAAAAATTGTATTTTTTATTTTTGCGATTACTATAACTTACCCTACGGAAAGTTAATAATTGACCACTTACTGAATTCACTTTTTTATTACAGAATGGACGAATTGAAGAATGTTAAAAACATTGAGATGGATCAAGAAGAACTAAAAATAAAGCTACAAGAAGCTTTTGTAAAAGATGTAGAACAGGTTTAGAAACATAATTTTATCTTAAATTCCAACATCTTAAAAAGTTTCATTAGAAATTTAAGGTGTTTATTTTCAGGAAATTTCATTTTTTAGAAAGGAAACAAGTCGCAAAAGTAAAGAAATATTGAATAATATAGAAAAAGCACAAAACTTTGATGAATATGATGAATGTAAGTCATTTTTATAATTAATTAATATTAACTTATTAATCAGTTGTATTTAAGTTGTAATTTCAATTGTACAAAGAGAAGTAACTTACTATGCTTACTAGTAATCTCTATTCTATTTCAAATAGTTAACAAAAATAATTAAACAAATATTTCATTCTTTAAATTATGTAGGACGAAAATATTAAATATTTTATTATCTGCAATTTTCAAATTTCTGATTTATAAGAGCGACTATTTCTTTTTCAGAAGAACTTTTCTATGAATGTTCTTTTATAATTTTCTTTAGACTTTCTTTAGAATTTAGAATAACATTAGACTTTATTTATTTTTTGTTTATATTTTTTGCTTTTAGTGGCAGATATCATCAGAGTCAGATACTCAGACGAAATGAAGTCAAAAATTAATAATTTCATAAAGCAAGTCAAAGAAAAGCAAAAGCTAAAAAATCAAATCCCAGAACCAAAAACGCCAAATGCTGAAGATACTGCTCAAACTACTCAGACTGAGCCAGAGTAATAAATTAACTAAAATATAAGGAAAATTATTAATCATTGCTTATATAATAAATAACGAATAAATAATAGTAGAGTAAATAAATTATCGATTAAATATCGTTTGTTGGGCTATTTTAATTGTTCAATAAATTTACCTTGGTTTATTTTGTTACAAGATTTTCAGCTCGTGCTCATGATAATTTTAATTAGTATGAGTAGTATTTGAATTTTAATTTTTTGGTTATTCTAGAATATTTAAAAATAATAAATAATAACCATATAAGGTTTACTACTACGAATAGGTTTTTTCAAATATTTTATGCTAGAGTTTGTTATAAATTATTATTTTTAAATTATTTATTTTTAGTATATTTATGTATATTTAAATTTTCGAAACATTATTAGTTATTCTAAAATATTTAAAAAAATGGTCCTCATTGGTAATAATTAAAATATCTGAAATTAAACAATATAAGGTATTAGCAAAATTTCAAATATTTTGTGCTAGAGCTTATACTATAAATTGTTTTCTTAAATTATTTGTTTTTTAACTTCCCGTAGGGTAAGTAATAATCGCAAAAAATCGAAAATGAAAATTTTTATATATCTTTACGTTTCAGAGGTTTCTGAGTATTTTGGCATACCTTAGAAAAAATGGATGTGTGTGTGTGTGTGTATGTGCGTAGTATGTATGTGTGTGCGGATACAAAATTTGTCGACGATTTCGGGAACACAGATGAAGCAATTTGAATAATTTAAAAAACATTCGATCCGTATTGATAAGGAGGCGTGCTGATTAGTTTTTGGCGGAGGTAGGTCTAGCCGTTCCGAAGATATGGGGCAAAAAGTGCCAAAAACGGTAACTCAGTTTTTAAGAGAACGGAGCGTCCGATTTTAATAATTCAAAAAACATTTTACTTGTATTGACAAAATAAAGAACTGATTGGGGAGGCCGGTCTAGCGGTTTCGGAGATCTAGTGATAAAAGTACAAAAAATGCCATTTTGAGGTCAAAAATGATCATTAGACATACGCACATCAAATTATCAGATATTTTATGGAGATTTTAATAATGTGAATCAATTTTGTTTACATTTCTATGGATTTTCGTAACGTCGTTTGCTTGTTAGACGGGAGAGCGGCGCTTAAGGTGCGTCCACACCTAACGAACGAACACGAACGAACATAAAAGAACGTACCAGAACGAACGGCAACAGCATAGTGTGGACGCCACGACGATCACGAACGAACATAAACAAACATGGCGAGCAATGTTCCGCAACTTGTCGGTACATCAAAGGGAATTGTTCGTTCATGTTGAACTCGTATGTGCAGTGTGGACGTCTCAACGAACGCAAACGAACATTTTTGTTTAATAATTTTAATAATTTAATAATTTTTTTAATAATTTAATAATATGTTAATAATTTAATAATATTTACTTTTAATTATTGTGTACAGTTTGAAAATTTTAATAATTTACTTTTAATTATTGTGTACAGTTTGAAATTTTGAATAAATTATGGAATGGTCAATGACGTAATTTTATCATTCATAAATGAAATAGAAAAGTTTCCTATAATATGGGAGACTAAAGACCCTTTTTACAAAATTATTAGAAAAAAAAACGATGCTTGGAAAAGTGTAGGCAAAACGTTTGGGATGTCAGAAGCTGCAGTAAAGAAGAAATTGCAGTATTTACAAGTAAATATTAAACTTGTTATCATACATAGACATTCAACATATATGTTGAGGATGAGAGTATGAAAATTGATATAGTTATATTGAGTATAAGCCTGGAATGTTCATCTTGCTCCGAATATGAATGCTGAGGAAAGAAAACGACTCAAAATATAAATATTAAATACAAAAACTGAGTGAAATTAATTGAATAATTTATTTACAGTATATTTACAAAATATACACGAACAAAAATCACACAAAAACCAGTGAAAATGCCGTATGATTAAAGCTTACATCCATATCAATAATAAAACTGACGTTTCACGGAACATCTACGAACAACGAAAATACAAGCGCTCACTGCTTTAAGCGCTTGTTCAAGTTCGTTTGGAAATTTTCGCGTTCGTTCGTGTTCCTGTTCGTTCTTCTTTGAATTTTCTTGTTCGACATGTTCGTTCGTGTTCGTTCGTTAGGTGTGGACGCACCTACGCGATTCGATATAGCGTTTCTATGCAGCTAAAGCATATTTCAAACCAAAAAAAACATTTTTTTCCAAAACAGTAATTTTTTTCCAAACAGTAATTTTTTACAAAAATTTGAAATTTTTTATAATGTAATTTTTTCAAAGTTTAAAACACATTTCATTTTTTTTAAAAAAAATTAATTTTAGTACTGGAAGTTCCAGCAATTTGCCTTAAAGCACGATACCATGCACCACTAGTTTAAATATTTGAAATTCAAGAATAAGGGTGCCAATTCCTTTAACATGACTTCAACGTTCTATGCAAATATTTTTGCTAGAATTTGTATAATAGACCTTTTTTTATAATGGCTTTTATATAATAAAATAGTAAGTGTATAAATTATTTATTCTTAGGATCATAGATAAGGAAGAAGCTTAGGATATCTAAACCGCGGTTTATTCTTGTATCAAATGTGAATTATATTTGGGTATTTAGTTAAAAATTAACAAGTAAATCCATTATGTATGTATATAATACTTTAACATTTGTCATAAATGTAATATATACAATACTCGATCATAATGTTTTCAATTTGATTGTTATTTAAATTAGTAGTCGCTAGTTATTCGTATCTCGCGCTCAATCGAATCGCTTTGGCTTCGAGCTAGCAGCGGGCGGCGGCGGCCATTCCGGATTGTTTGGTTGTGTACTCCACTGTCGACTCTCCACTCCAGACCACAGACCTTTTGACAAGATTGCGCCTTTCATTCTATCGAGGTCTCGTTCTAGCGCTGCCAAACGGAGAAGCTTCACAAAACACTTCTCTTCAATTCATCAAATAATACATATTTAAGTCAACATATTTATTATATTTTATGTTCAGTGCAAGTAAATAACATCAAATGTTCTAATTAACGTTCCAAAAGTGTTTCACATCCATTAAATAAGCCTGAAGAAACTAGTAAAAATTGCTCCCGATCGGTGGTAAGCCATTTTAGATTTTCATCAATCGTGGCATTGTTATATTTTTAATAATTTTCTTGTTTATTCTGTACTTTTAATTTGTGTTAGGTTAATATTATCTAAGAATAATATGTCTAGATTGATGTTTCAATGACCCTGAACATTGTGTACCAGAATAAATTTCTAATTGAATAGAATGCTTCTATAGATTACTGTGGAAATCGTTTTTGTATTCTTTTTTTCAAGTTTTGTATGCACTCCAATTTGTCTTGCTCATGATATGAAATTGCAAGTTTATGAAAATAGAGTACTTAACATTTTTATTTCTTGTATTTACTTACACACACATATTTATGTATATATTTTTTATTTAATTATCTGAACTAAAAGCCTCATTTTTTGTCATTCAACTTTTAGTTATTTCATTCTACATTTGGGGGTTAGAATATCCTCTTCTTCGGAAACTTTGTAACTGAATCTTGCTTCATCAAAAATTGTAATTGAAAATATATCAAGCCATAATTGTTTATCTTAGTGAGAATGCACTAGTACTCAAGTATAATTTAGACAATTAAGATAATAATTATAATTATAGCTATTCATTGAATATATTCGATGGAATGTTGTTGGTAGACACCTAGTTTATCTCACTTCTCGGACTTCTGTAATATTCATCACATATATTAACTCTTTTTCAATGTTCCTTCTGGCGAAAGTTTATAACTAAATCTTTTTTCAAATCACTTATCAAGTGTTGAAGTGCACTTCACCAAAAATTATATTGGAAAATATATCAAGCCATAATTGTTCACCTTAGTGAGTATGTACTAATTATATATAATATATAATTATAGCTATCCTTATATTCGATGAAATATTGTTGATAGACAAGTTATATTTGCATTATGTTTACGCTGTATTATGGTCACCTAATTTTTTTCTCACGTCTCGGGCTTCTGTAATATTCATCACATAACTCCTTTAATTCAAATTTTCCTTCTTGCCAAGTTTGTAACTAAATCTTTCTTTAATGTTGAAGAGCACATTCACCAAAAAATTATATTAAAAAATGTATCATGCCATAAATGTTTACCTTAGTGAGTACTAATAAATACTCAAGTATTATTTATTCATTTATTTTATTAAATAGCCCAGAGAATAGTTCCAAGATGACTTAAAAATACAATTATAATCAGATATAATACAAAATAGTAAAATACATAATGTATGTTATGTGTAACATAACAATTTTATACAAAATTGAATAAAAAAATACTGAAACATATTCGAAAAGAAATATACAGATTGAGTTGAGCAGGTAGATTATTTCATTAAGTGTTGTGGACATTAGCAAAATAGGCAAGTTTAAGGCATTAGATTTAGGAATAGGATAATTGAAATATATTTTTTTTGTTCATGAAGATAATCTAGGAATTTTAAAGGATAGATGGTTAAAAATTTGTGGAAAATCTATAACATTATTACAATTTTTATATAGCAAGAGATGATATGCTGAATTCATGAAGTAATATGTTTTGGTCGAAGTATTACTTTAGTTCATAAAATTAATTTTATGAATAATAATAGCTATCCACACATATTCAATGAAATATTGTTGAAAGACAAATTTTGTTTAGATTAAATTACTGTCACCTATTTCTCAACTTCTGGAATATTCATCACTAATAAACACCTCTCTTAATTCCAATTCAAATATGTTATGTCAATTTTTAATTTTATTAATTTCCCGTAGAGTAAGTTTCTTTACGTTTTAGAGGTTTCTGAACATTTTGATACACCTTAGAAAAAATGGATGTGTGTGTGCGCGTGTGCGGATACAAATTTTCGTATTCGATTTCGGGAACACGGTTCAACCGATTTCAATTATTCAAAAAACATTCGATTGCTGTTGATAAGGAGACGTGCTGATTAGTTTTTGGCAAAGGCAGGTCCAGTCGTTTTGGAGATACGGGGCAAAAAGTGCCAAAAACGGTAAGTTTTTGGCACAGTTTTTAAGAGAACGGAGCGTCCGATTTTAATAATTTAAAAAAACATTTTACTTGTATTAAGATAAAGAACTGATTGAATTTTTGGGAAGGCAGGTCTAGCGGTTTCGGAGATCTAGTAAAAAAGGAAAAAGAAATTCTATTCGAGGTCAAAATGATCATTAGACACATAAAATTATCAGATATTTTATAGAGATTTTAACAATAAGTATAAATTTTGTGTACCTTCATATAGGGTTCCGTACCAATGTTCAATCTCAAAATTTATTTTTTTGGAGTAAAACTTTTTCAGAAATTGTTAATCTTTTAAAAAAAAGTTGGTACGGGAAATTCTAGCAATTTGCTTTAAGGCACGATGTCATGTGCGTGCCACACTAGTTTTTTATTTAATTTCCTGAAAATATTCTCATCCATTTCATTCTACTTCTCTGGAACCACGAAACTCAAATTTTGTTTAAATCACACATTCTTTAAAAATCAATTTTTACATTGACTAAAAATTATAATTAAAAATTTGTTCTGCATAGATATTTACATTTGTGAATAATATAATTTGTGATAAATATGTATGGGTGTATGTATGTATTTTTGCAATACTATGTTTTTGTTTGTTTTCAGTTGTGTCAGTTACCAATACATTTTTTACATAATGATAATACATTTTATAATTATAATACATTTTGACTTTACTTGAAATTAACAGTTGCTTTAATAATGTAGCTTTTTGAACATAAATTTTGGAGCGTTTAAAGAACTAATATAATTGATAAGCTGCGTGAGGTGCTTTTATTTTCAATTGGTATTTCATTAGCTATGAAAATACAATAAAGGTATATTCAGGGTTTGCTAGTGGTTTAAAGTTTAAATTACAAAAGTTTCTATGTATTACTTACAGACTCAATAAGTACTTTGCTAAATCTATATGCATTTGCTAGGTACCTTCTTGTAGAATTATTCAAGACATGCCTAATGAATTGTTTGACTCTAAAAATCATTTAAATACAATATTTATGATTTTGTTAGGAATTAATTTGACCTGTAATTCAAGTTTGTATCTTGGCCTTTCACAAATTCTAATTGGTTCATAAAGCATATATATTTATAATTTCAGCAATCAGCTTTCACAAAAATGGTCTCCACAAGGCAGATGACAAATGTAGGGGGCTCCAGTCCAAGTTCGGATGAAGCTGAAACCGGGACCAGACCCCCGCGACATAATTCTGTTATAACAATTGTTTCAAGTTCTTTGATACAAAATTCTGCAGCAGGTCCCTCTAATGCAATTTCTACAGTGTCAGCACCTCCTCCTCGAACAATTAATTTGCTTGATTTGCCACAGGAGGTTATTGAGAAAATTCTTTCCTATGTTGGATATAAGAAAGTTTCTCAAATGCGTATGGTAAGCAAATTTTTTATATTTTAATATTTATATTAATATTCTATGATTTCTTGTTCATATGAATTTCGGAATTAGTGATATATTTTTATAATAGAATTTATTAAAGTAAGCAGCTTTTTTGTGCAGGATTTATTTAATGAATTATATATTTTATAAAAAAGATATACTTTAAATATGACATCGGTTTGTCATTGTAATTAGCATTTAGGACTTGAACCTTTATTAAGTAATTTCTTATTAATAAACTCTATAATATTATTCCTTCACACAGTGGTTTATGTTAAACAGCGCCTAAAGAAATATTGCTTTCACATTTTCACTCATCATGTAATAATTGTTTGAAGAACTTTATGTAATAAATTAACATACATTCATTGACTGCTTTTACTTTTTCGCTGACGATACAATCTTATTTTTTGAGTAGCTGTAATATCTGTCTTGTCTATAAAAATATTTTCCATTTCAAAAACTTCAAAGATTCATAGAAACTATGAATAATATAGAAATAATGTCAATAAACTTATGTTTAGTACAAGGCACAAATGTTTAATTTGTTTTATTATTTTCAAGGAACAGGGTAAAACATTCTTCTGATTCAGGCATTTTTCATTAAGTCAAGATTTGTACTAGGATGTAACCTTAAAATGTTTATTTATCTCTATGCCGATTTCCTTGTTAATATTGGTACGCATACAACGTATGGTCTCTAATCACGTAAAGGTGCGTCCACACCTGAACGGCGACAGCATAGTGTGGCGCCACGACGATCACGAACGAACATAAACAAACATGGCGAGCAATGTTCCGCAACTTGTCGGTACATCAAAGGGAATTGTTCGTTCATGTTTGAACTCGTATGTGCAGTGTGGACGCTACCACGAATGTAGACAAACATTTTTCTTTTTTGGTGTTAAAATGTGCATTAATGCATTAATTTATGTTGTATTTATTATAAGATATTGCTGTTATTGACAAATTTTGTAAATTTGATGACTTTAAATAATTTTTTCTTTCCTTCCCGCCACTTTAAATAATAAATCTGACGTTCTCACGTACATCCTCGAACAAAAGATTAAAACCCTCACTGCTTTGAGGCGTTTGTTTGGAATTTTCGCGTTCGTTCGTGTTCTTGTTCGTTCTATTTTGTATTTTCTTGTTCGACATGTTCGTTCGTGTTCGTTCGTTAGGTGTGGATGCACCTTAACACGACGACTAATCACAATTGACCCTTATAGAAATGATTTCATCGAGAGCGAATGACGTACAGTACGGGCGTAACGCTATTTCCGTTGCATTTGTACAGATTTACACCCTAGCCGCGCCTAAAGAAGTTTTACTTAAAACATATTTTATTTTTATCCAGGTGTGCCGTCAGATGAACACGACATGCTCCGCAATCTTGAACTCTACATTTTCTCGTCTTCAAACTCAAATGCTTGTTAGATTCCAATCAATCAAATCTAAAATGCCACGCAGAGAATCTGCAAGGCGCAATCATCCTCTCGCTTGTGAAAGCGATATCATTGAAACGCTTCATATGCGATTGACATTGCTTCAATGACTTTGGTAAACATAGAACGTAGACATTGCTGCTTCTTTCCAGGAGAGGTGAGGATTTTTTAATACAGTTTTATGTATGTTCTACAATTTTGACTGCTATTAAAACATAAATGGTATATATGTTACGGTAAATGTGCATATTTCGGTGAATGTGCACATTTACCGGCTCATTTGGCGAATGTGAGTTCAACTCGCGCATGTGCGGGTGAAATACTAATTCATATAGTAATAATCATATTTATATTTATATTATATTTTTATTATTTATTTTAGACATATGCATATTAATATCCATTATTTATTATTCAT